TGGACAAAGGTGTAAACTAGCAAATAGTTCTAAACAACTAATGAGTAAAATAGTTCTAAACAAATAATAAATAATCAAGTGAACTCAGGACTAAAGCACATAGTTTTCAAATACAATATTAGTAACAATACTTAGATAAAATTAATTATTTTATATATTATGTTGAAAAATAGGTTATTCTATGCAAATTTATTAAAAAAAAAAACAATGAAAATATGGACATAACACACCTTTGTTTCTTATAAATCATATTAAGTTTAGTTAAGAAGAACTTACAATGGCTCTATGTGGTAAAAAAATAAAATAACATTATTTATATGAAATAGTTTTATTATTAAAAAATAGGTGTACCACATGCACGTACTTACATACTATTTATTAATTACTGAGAGTGTAGAATATTTATTTAAAACCACCGAGACTCCTGCCAAATATACTCAAGTTGTGTTTTTATACCACCAATTTTTAATATACATTGAATACATCTTTTTAAAAGAAATTAATGGATTTTATTACTGTTTGTAGATATTTTGAGTAAGAGAACAATAAGAACTTTCAGATGGAAAACTTTGGAAAACATTCTCTGTCTACGACTTATTGCATAGTGTGTGTAGACACATACAGGTACTAACTACATTAACCTTATAGAAGTGAGCTGTTATTTTTATATGTAAGTATATACCTATCTATATCTGCCAAAGGCAAATAACAGCTTTTACGAAGAGTATTATATTCATTCAAATAAAATTATTTTATACCTTTTAGAATGGAAGATAAAGATTATAGACGGGGAAAAAAAGTCGACCATGTTTATCAAAAAACGAAAAAAATTCAATTTTCTTCGTAGATCGAACGGATGGGTAACGCCATCTTCTAAAATCAACAGGTATACAATTAACATACTATTGCACATAGGTATCATACGGTAATTTATTCTGTGATCATACTTTGATTGGTAGGTGATAGACCGAAATTTATTTCGCCAAAATATAAAATTATGGAATAGCTGATGTTTATTTTTAAGATTTCATAAAAGGATATGTTCGGCTGTATGTTTTTTCTTTTATTTTATTTTTATGCATTGTCACTGATTTCTCCATCGTGGACCGATTTTGAATACCTATTCATTTTTTTCTTCGATAATGTATGTCTCACATTTGGCCCCATATAAATGTCATAGAAATCATTTCAACCATGATATATGTTGTAATTGAGTTTTATTGAAGTCGGTTGTACAAAATTTTCAATTTTACCACTTGTCTCGTAATAATATTAGTCCGTTAGAAAATGTTCGTATTACTAATTCTAATTACTAATTAACTTATCTAAATTTTAACAATGAACCGCATTAAAGGTAAACTAGCTTTGGCCCGTGACCTTAGCCCGCGTTAGTTAGCCATAAAATATATTTTTAACTATTATCATTCTATTTATTTTTCAGTGACTGAACTTGACAAGGAATTACCGGACAGTAATATGCAGGGACTATGTACTCCTAATATTCGTCGAATTAATATTACGAGGTCCAACAGCGCTACATCGATGGAAGAATGAATAATACATTGAGTTATACAACACTAGAGGAGCAAACCACATTACCGCGCGTCGAAAAAAGTGTAACCACTATCCAAACGCGACGATGTAGCTTTGAAACTAATAACAATTTTAAATAAACATATATCTATCTCACTTACACAAGTTGCGAAAACAATATCGTCGCTAAGATTAGATAAAGATAGACACACAAACATGCAATGGCGGGTTGGTGTGGCTTACTATATGAAATTTTACCTAAAATACGCAATAAAAATGAGTTTTTTTTAAGCTGCAGTTAAATGTTTTTATATTAAAAAGTATATTTTAATTTAAATTCTTTATTGCGTCCCCTTCGAAAAAAAAGGATACAAAGCTTATCAAATGAATAGTAGTAAACATAATGATGAAATAAAACATATTTTATAAGTATTTTTATTGCAATAAAATCAAAACAATATAAAATAGGTAATAAATATAATTAATATAAAATTTATATGAAATTATTATTAATATAAAATTATTAATATAAAATAAGTAATAAAATATATTTAATAGATAATGAGGATCCGTAACGTTTTTAGTTGAGAATGCAGATTTATAGATCTAAGAAATCCTTAACATACAGTGCAAAAATTTTTGTTCTACGACAAAGTATGACGAAGTTATGGCCAAATTACTAGCGAAGTTCACTGACGGCCCGGCGCGGTACCTGTGACGTCACTATGACGGTCTTCGCCAGTTAGCCGTTGGCAGCGATAAGGCGCGCAGTGTTTTGTTTGGTTAATTGTAACTTTGAAACAAGTTAAGTGTCCGATTTGTGTCTAATTCACCTTTTTAACTATGTATAAATATTGTATAGTGCCGAAATGTACAAACACTTCTATTAAAACACCAGAAAAACTATTTTTTAACGTACCGAAAGACCCAAAACTTCGTAAAAAATGGTATTCCATTGCAAAAAGAGATGATAAAACTACACCCTCTGCCCAGGCTACAAGACATTGCTGTGAAGATCACTTCGATGTACGTACCTACATATCTATTATACCTATTATTTAGTTGATATGGAAATACGTTGGTACCTTATGTTACGTGTAGTGTACCTGTGTATTCTCTTATTTTAAGCCTGCTGTATTAATAAAAACATACCTATTTACTTTTTCTAAGTTTTGTTGATAAACCTACGTACTAACGTATCTAATAACGTAAACCTATATATTCGCCCGTTCCCATTTCTATGTATTACTAGCTTTTGCCTGCGGTTTCGCCCGCGTTGAATTCAGTTTGTCACAGAAAGTTTTTATCACACCTCTATTTCATCCCCTTAAAGTTTTATTTTTGCAATAAAAAGTAGCCTATATCCATTTTAAGATCTCAGTTATCTCTATACTAAAAGTCATTAAAATCGGGTCAGCTGCTTATGTGTAAAAGCATCGTATTTCGTATTAAAAGGTCAAAACAATGACCTAGAGACGTACTCGGGTAAAAAGCAAAGAGTGAATGATAATATTCTTTAACCATTTACATAACAGCGGTTAATTTATGTATCTGCCTCAGCTATGCCTTATTGATAGAGGCAAATAAATTAATACTTATATACATTTTTATATTTCAGTTAGAAGAAGATATGGAAAATTACGTAAAGTTTAAGTTAGTTGGAGGAAAGCTTAAACTGAAGAAGGGACTTTTGCCTCATAAGTTTGAATGCCAAAATCCTCAAAAAAAGAAAATTGACAGACCCGGTTTTAAAAAACGACAAGACATAGAATATTTTGAAAGAGTTTTAAGTAAAGATATTGGACACGAAGACCTGTTGTTGCATTCCATTGAAGTAGTAGAGTGTGAGAATCAAGACTCAAATAACATCCAAAACAGTGATCCCCTTTACATACCTGAAGAAATAGACGTATTATCAAAAAACAATGTAAGGGGTCAAAAAACACAAGCAGTGCAGGTTAATATGAAACCAAAAATGAAAACTAAATCGAATAATACGCCAATGAAATGGAAACAACCAATAGTTAAAAAAAAGTAATCCCTAAAAATCTTGATCCAAACGTTAGCTTCACGATCAGCAACTCAAACTCAAGTGAAAATACTCGTTCTTTTGGTGTTAGTGCTAGTGATAACGAGTCGAATGATTTAGAAATAACAAAAACAATGCACAAAAATTTCTTCCATGAGCATATGCAAAAGGGCGCTCTAATGTCTATATCTCGAGATCCAAAATTACTGATAGGCATTCCTGCCCATTCATATTTTTGTATTAAACATTTAGAAAACTTCACGTAAATATCATCTATTGAAATCCTAGTGACTTTACGAAAAATCCGATGGCATGACCCAAATTCAATGCTTGCAATACATTTTGGCCTCTCTGAGAGTTCTGTGACTAAATATTTTAATAAAACTCTCCCAAAAATTGCACTGTGCCTGAATCGAGTTATTATCTGGCCATCAGCAGATGATGTCAGAGAAAACTTGCCGATAGCTTTTAGGAAGCGCTATTCTAAAGCGATTTCAATAATCGATTGTTTTGAAATTCAAATCGAGAAACCTAGTAACGCTTCGCACCAAGCGGCTACATGGTCTCAATATAAAAGCTGCAATACCATTAAGTACTTGATTTCAATTACACCTGACGGTTTGATAAACTTTATCTCTGAGGGATATGGAGGGAGGACTCCAGACTCAACAATATTTGAAGACAGCGGATTTCTTGACAAATTGGCACAAGGAAGTATTGTGTTAGCTGATAGGGGTTTCAAAAATATTTCCCATTTACTGGAACAACGTGGTTGTACACTCCTGAGGCCGCCTAGTGTGAGTTCCAACTCAAAACTTACAGCAGAGGAAGTCTTGCAAACAAAGAGAATCGCTGCTATAAGGGTTCACGTTGAAAGAAGCATAGGGAAGTTGAGAGACTTTAAAATGATCGGACCTCACGCATGTGTCGATATTTCATACGTACATTTTTTAGATAATATTGTAACAATAGCCTGTGGTTTAGTTAATTTACAGAATTGTCTATTTAGTAGTCAAGTGTAAAAAAAAATGCTTTCGTTTCTTTTATAGTTTTATTTCGACAACCTCGCAACATCAAAAGCACATGTCATTATTAATAAAAGAATAATTTTAAGTCTCAACTAGTTTTGGAAACACTGATGTTTTCCAAAAATGCGTGGACTTCTCTAAAAGATCAGTACAATAGTTTTCATCATAATATTCTTCAAATATTTCTACTTTTTTATTGCTTTCAAAATTTTCATTAGCTACACAAAACAATCCCTTGACTTTATTGCATAAAAACATTTGTAGCTAAATTTGAGCTTTCCATTTGCTGCCGATAACACTATTCTTTACAAAACTTTCCTTTCCTTTCTTTGTCGAGGGACATTTTATTTCTACTACGTATTCACTTGTCAATCCATCTGGAGAAGCACCTAAATGAGGCCAATCAGGTTTTAAAAAAAACCACAATTTTCAATAACTATTTTCCTTGTTTTGGCTACTTCTGCTCTGACATTGGATTCCAATCGTTTGCCTCTTTTCATAGACAGAGTCTCGGGTACAGAGGCACCAAATATTTGTTCAATCAAAGCACCATCAGGAGTCTTGCAATGTGCAGCTTCGTGAACTTTAGACGCGGTTATTCTACAATACCTTAACTCATGCCATAACGGTGAACTAGCTTGACAAACTGTTGCTTCCTCTGCTTTGTGACATTTTTCTATGGTGATTTTAGTAGAGCAATAATCAATAAAATCATCTGCACTATTTATATTATTGCCTTCATTTTTGTATTGATGAATGAGGTTATGCAAAGACAATTTTTTATACTCATTCTTTGTTACGTATACTGATAACTGATTTTTAATAGAATGTTCCTTTAGGCTTTGCACAACTGCTAGGAAAAACAGATATGAATTGGTGTTATCAGTATTTTTATCTTCAGTAGTAACTGAACTGGAACCCATATCTTTAGCTTTTATAAATTTAGTACCTATGGTAGCCAGCTTTGGTTTGGCCCAGTAACATTTTTTTCAGTAGGAGATGGCTCCTCGGTGCGTCTATGCAGCCACATCAAAAACGCTACGCTATGTTTGCAACCTCCCTTTTGAGCAGCACAGTCATGACAGTCCACGTTCAAAACCGTTTCCTCTTTTTCATCACATGTAAATGTACAGCTATACGCTTTACTTTTTATTCTATGTTCAGGCGTTATTTTTGCTTTTACCGTACAAACACGTCCCGACCTCTGGACTTGAACAAATCCTACAGCATCATCTCCATAGGTTTCACGTGCCGATCTGTAATAAATAAATAAAACGAATTAAAAAATATATACAAATAACAAAATTCTATCCTACTACTATATTTTACTTCCGACTAATATTATAAATGTGAAAGTTTGTGAGGATGAATGTATCTTTGTTCCTCTTTCAAGCAAAAACTGCTGAACAGATATGGTTGAAATTTTACAGGAACCGTGTATTTTTTCTGGTATAAAAAGTGCTTTATCTCGGAAAAATACACGGTTCCTCTACGATAAATAAATAGTAGTCTATGCGGGCGAAGTCACGGGCGTTCGCTAGTATTATATATTTTTTATACAAAACAAGTCATCCTACTTAAATACATACTGAACGAATGATTTGTAACAATGAGCAAGATGGAAAAAAAAATCTGCCATTTACAATCAATATTAAGGTTTCTGTCATAGATCAGCAAGTGTAGGGAACCATGCAATAAATAAAGTGCAAGTAAGTTAAAAATCATCTGCAAAATGATCTACATATGAATGAACGAAAACAACATTCCTTTTATCAAGATACTATAAACACTATTCATAAGTTATGAATACGTCCCTGTAACCTAAGATGTTTATACATCTTTGCCCGTAACTATACTTTACAACATTCATTCTTTCATTTATTTACCTATACAGCTTATTCCTAAAGATTACTAATAAGTACCTACGAACGTAGATAAATAAGCAGCACCCTTACCTTTGTAGTTTCCAACCACGGACTTCAGCGCTGGTGAACTTAGAATGATTACTTAGATAATCAAATACCATGAAAGAATCCACTTTTGGAAGGTTATCTGATTGAGCTTGCACAAAACCAGCTTCTACTTTATTAGCACTCATATTATGTATCTTTAATACTTAAACAATCACAAAATTACACTGTAACAACACTTTATTTAAATAAATTGCCAAATATAGTGCCCAACCACGTCTCCGCGCTCCGTCGAATCGTGAACTACCACAGAATACATGTATGAACTACTATGATGCGTTCGGTTCCGTCACAGTGACGTCACGCGGACCTCCGTGCATTGACTTTTAGCGACAGGAACGGCCTATGTTTATTACTTAATATCTTCGTAAGTAATGGTCCGATTTGGCTTGTAGCAGCCAGATTAATCAAACCGAAACGGGAATAAATAATATATACTCCGCTGCTACCATAACGCGGAAGGCGAGAATAAATAAAAAAAACATTTTATTTCCTAATTATTCTTGGCTACTGAGATACTGCGGACTGTATATAGATAATTTGACGTTCTTATAAAGAAACAAGAAGCAGCCGCAAATATCATTCAGCGCCACACCGACTTCACACGCCGCTATCGTCACGTATCCGTCGACCAATGGTGAGCCGTTTCTTCAACGCCGCAGTTCGTTTGCTCTTGCTGTTCCGGAGCTGTATTCCACACCGCCGCCGCCCGCCGACTACGCGTGCGCACCGATCTGCATGTCTTATATAGCCCGGTCCAGCGACGTAGCTTCGTGAACAACAAACAAGTCTCACGCCGGGAAACGAAACGTAGATAATTGTATATTTTAAATAGTTTTCATTGGTCATAAAATAAGCAATATAATTGGCTAGGCAAAATATTAATTGTTACCATTGGCAAATCAATAGTGAGCCAGCCATATAAATAGAGGCAAGGTTGATGCAAAAGATATTCCATTCCGAATCCCATTCGACAGTACATTCATAAACATAAACAGTAGTTTCATTTCTCCACCTTAAAGAAAACCACTCGGAGTCTGTTAATAGTGGACAATACGTCTCCACTATTACAGTGGTGACCCCGTACGAACACCGAGGAGGAAGATCCGGTACGAACACCAAGAAGGAACACCCTGCGACGTACCACTACTATTGCACGAACACCGCGAAGGAAACCCGAACGAACACCGAGAAGGAAGACTACAGTTTATATAAAATCAGTGTAATCAAGCCGTCATTATGGAGCAGGAGGCAAACACATATACATCAAACCCGGTAAAGGAACCAGAAATCGCCGGTATATCTCTATCGTTAAGAATACCACCGTTTTGGAGAGACAAACCACGACTTTGGTTCGTCAGTTTTGAAGCCGCAACGAATGGTTTAAAGAAGAGCCAAGCGCAATTAGCACAGATGGTGATAGCCCAACTTGAGAAACAAGACATCGAACAAATTGCGGACCTGTTGTACAACCCACCAGCAGTCGACCAGTATAATTCACTGAAGGATCGTCTGATCTCCGCATATGAAGAATCCGACAGTCGACAGCTACAAAAACTTCTATCAGAAATAGAACTTGGAGACCAGAAACCCACACAACTCCTACGCAAAATGCGTACTTTGGCGCGAGATAAAGTTCCGGATTCAACACTACGGCTAATGTGGGTAAACCACCTACCACCACATATTCGATCGGTAATAGCAGTCAGCGAAACATTCAGCACGCAGACGAAGCTCGACGAACTGGCACTCCTGGCGGACAAGATGATCGAAAACAGCAGTAGCTCACACATATCGATCATCGAAGGCACTTCAACAAAGGCCAATGATACCCAGTTTCTTCTCGAAGAAATTCGGAAGCTATCATTCGAAGTCGCCGCGCTCAAAGCTTCCCAGCATCATACCTTTTACCAGCAACAGTACAACCAGCGCAATCAGCAACACCGAAGATCACCTTTTCGTCGCAACCGCTCTGCAAGTAGAAGTCGAATAAGCTCAACATCAAGATCCCCTTACTGCTACTATCATCGACGTTTCGGGGTCGAGGCAAGAAAATGCACAGCACCGTGTACATTCAAAAATGAAAATACGAACACGGAAAACTAACTAGTACGCTCGATGCGACGGGATCCAGCGTAACAGCAAAGTCCTACCGTCTTTTCGTCACCGATAAAAAAAGCAAGCTTACTTTCCTTATCGACACCGGAGCAAATATCTCAGTGTTACCGCCGAAGCAAGGACAGAAGTTGAAGCCACTAGATTTTCAACTCTATGCAGCAAACAATACGGTTATTCCTACATATGGAGAAAAAACAATGGAACTTGATTTTAATCTACGCCGACCATTCAAATGGAGATTTATCGTCGCTAAAGTCAGCAAACCAATCAATTCAAAAAGATATATAATTCTTATGTTATAAAGAATAACGTGGATACTAGTTTTATTGAATTTTCTATAACTTTACTGATCCTCATTCATGAATAAACTAAAATAAGAATAATTAATTATTTTGTAAGAAAGTTAAAACGTATTTTTTATTATTATTTCCAAAATTTTAACAAATCCGAGGTAAAAAATTAACTTACTCCATTAATTATATAGTCTCCCATTAATGTAGGATAATCACAAATGCGGAAAAGTGGCAACATTGAACTTAAATGGCAACATTCGATAGTTTTATTTAATTATTTGAAGTTTTTTTACGTTTATATGAAAACAAGAACTAAAAATTATGTGTTGAAAGTGATTCCGCTTGATTTATTACGTTTTGTGACCTTGAATAGCATTCTTTCACTACTCATTTACCCATTTTTTGTCGCGGCTCAACTCTGTCGCCGTCACATTGAACAATGAACTGACGTTAGCTAGGCATATGGCTGTGGCCATATGAACAGTGGCAACGCTTTAGCGCGGTTATTACTGATCTAGTGTAATATGTAAATCAATGGTATAAATGGACTATTATTACTATGGACTAAAACCTCATAGTTAAAAAGTAGAATGCAAAAATCACCTTTTCAGAAATTTTTGTTCCAAGTTGAAGCAGTTAGGGAAGAAAACTAACAACCAGGAAGAAAACTAACAACCAATAAGGTTACTTACCAGTACCTACAAGAAAAAGAGTTGTGAGCAATGTTTTGCGTCGCTTTTACGTGGTAGAGCCATGCTGCAGTTATATTAGTAGTATAGTTGTAGCACGAATGGGTCGGCTCGACCGGGGAAGGACCACGCTTTCACAGAATACCAGCGTCAAATAGTAGCTTAATGCTGCTGGGTTTCGTATGGTGAGTGTAGAGAACCGGAGACCCTTTTTACTGGAAACGAGGCATTCCACCTAAGTCCTCACAGACGACAACGCATCTGCATTTTGATTCGTAATCGAGGATAGATGTAGATGTCTATGGGCCACAGCAACCACGTACCATCACGTGGGCTGTGTGCTCGTTTGTCATCATATTCCATAAAAAATCAGTAGTTGACGCCGTGAAACATTGGAAGAACGAAGACATCACTGACGTGGAAAAAATTAAAAACATCAAAAATGACATAAAAATCAGTGCCAATCATGTTTTTAAGAAAAGAAAGAAGAGTTTTTGGCTTCTTTGAAAAAAACGAGGACGAAATAAAAGAATTAGAATTGGCTACTAGAGGTCAATGATTTGTGGCACACTGAACTAAGAAAGAGGTTAACTGCATATACATTTGGAAAAATCGTAAACTGCTCCCTTACTGTATACTCATTTCAAAGGAAACACGGCAACCGAATATGGAAACCAACACGAATCGGAGGCCATACGATAATTTTCCACAACTACTAATCTAAAAGTTTCTGTGTGTAGACTAGTTATTGATTAAGATGATTATTATTTAAGGGCAAGTCCCGATGGATTATCGGAAATGACTCTAATTGAAGTCAAATGTCCTATTTCTGCTTCTAATATATCACCTGTGG